TAGGGTGGATCTGGGGGAATTTCTTACTTTTCACCCTATAACAATAATTTAAAGGTACAATACAAATAATTAATACTCTACTTACTGAATGATGCTTGGGTGTAGAATGATCTTTTGGAGCCACAAACATCGTCGCTTTCGTTCGTCTTGTCAGGCCCGCATCCATCTTGATTAAATTCTCGCGCGGCTATGTGCGGTAATGTGCGGTTGCAATTGACATCAACACAATACCCACAGTAACCGAAAATATTTAATGTGGATAATTTTGAACATATTAAATTATTATTCAGAGGCTCTATTTTTTTCTGTCAGGCACAACATATAACTCTAGAAGCATAGAATGTCACAATTTTTTCCTGACCGTTCGAGGGACAAGCGGAAAAAATTTCCTAGTGTCACTCTCCTTTCTAAACAAGAGAAAAAAAACCCGCACTCAAAAAACACCTAATGCATTGAAACACGAAGATTATCACTTCCGGTGTATGCCAATATGGCGCTGACCGTGTCAACAAGGTAACAGCAGTTCTAGACACGAAAACTCGTTCTTCCAGCCGGTTCTGTTTTATTTAAGGATATTACGTTTCTTATGGTTCTTTTTAATGAGTTGGTAGCAACAAAATTAAGTTTTTAATTTGCAATCTTCTCGCTGAATCAGCCACGACTCGGTGGCAGTGTTCTCACTCACTGATTGAATCACTGTCTTGGCTGACGGACGATGAAACTCAACTAATTTGACCCTCGTTCTGCGGAGTTTATGTCGCCCGATAAGCCTATTTCGGCACCTCACTTGCGTTCTGGTCCCACGTCAGTCTGGCCCCTGGCTCAGCACATGTGCGCCTAGCATCATTTCTCGTTCAATTGTGGTCCCGCGTCACGCGATGATCTTTATACTTTTTAGCACGGCCACCTCTATTCTCACCCGGGGCAAGAATAGTGCAGGCGAGTCTTTTGGCTATTCTCACCCGGTGCGCGTTCACCGTTATAGCCTAGATTTAGATCTAGGCCAACAAATTTTGCGTTCACCCTAAACCACAGAATTCTACACTGTGATTCTGTGATAACAGAAAAATTGTAGAATTCTGTGCCTCTGTGCCGTGAACAAACGTTCCATTACAACTGTAGCCTACTAAAAGCGTACAATTTTGTCTGTGTGCAGTGGAGAGAAAGAGAGAGGAGTAGCGCGAGAAGTTCCGGTCAAAACAAAATGGCGACCCGCGTAGTTCGGCTCGATTCGAAAAGTTAAATAGCCGTAGCATCTTTGTAGACAACCAAATTAATTTACTTTTGTGTTTTAACATCATTTTTTAACTTTATTTTGGTCAATTTGATCGTCCACACCGATAGACTGATAGACAGTATTCAGAAAGAGACAGAGAGAGAGGGGAGGAGTAGATCTTGCGAGAACTTCCGTGCAAAACAAAATGGCGACCCGCGTAGCTCGGCTCGATTCAAACAGTGAAATAGCCATAGCATCTTTGAAGACGATCAAATTAGCTTACTTTTGTGCTTTAAACTTTAACGTAATTTTTTCTTGGCTTTTATCAATTTGATCATCCACACCGATAAGTATTCCAAAATGAGGAAAAGCAGGTCTTGTTTCAAACCGTGTGAGAATAGCCTACGGTCGCAAGTCTCACCCGGGGTGAGAGGTCGATCGTTTTTCTATTCTCACCCCGGATGAGAATAGCCACTTCCTTTTAGCATGTTGAATTCTTCAATTGAGGACTTCCAAAACGAGCGACCACTATCAGATCTGGATCAAAGTTCTATATTATATTATCAAGATTACACTCAATGGCTTCCAAAATCATGATGGAAGACTGAAAACCACTGTTATACGCTCTGTTCTTAACAAAATTACGGTAGTTTGCACATTTTTAGGCCCAGTTCAAAGTTTTGAAGGTCTCAGTACTCTGAGTCGGGGATTAGTAGACTGTAGACTTTGGGAATTTAACGTGCTAAAGTATAAGATCACCCGTCACGCAGCTCAAGTGTGTGTGCGTCAGTCTGCCTGAGTTTGTTCGTTTGTGGCCTTCTTCTAGAACTGCCTGCCCTGGTTAGTAACTGAGCAATGAGGCATACGTCTCATTCAAAACACGCCAAATTGGAAAACATGAGACTCTCTTGAGACTCAGTGGTGCAAAAAAAGTTTTCTTACCAATTTGACTCTCTTTTCTGTCAGTCACAGATTGACATTTAGTGCTCATATTCCTAGAGTATCAGAGCAAGGAGATGTACGGTTTTGGAGATATGGGTCTATTGGTTTGGCAACCACTGTATTTCTTGTATGTAACAGTGATGACAAAAACAGATAAGCAGCAAGGCAAATTATGGACTTTAAATTCCATTTGTTTAGTAAACAAAGACTTTGTACACTATGAACTCCATTCATTATAATGGTAATATGAATGACAAGCTATGTAACAATGACGCAGTGCACAGAACATGTCATCATTGTTATGTACAAGAAAGGATACACATTGGACATTATCATTGACAACACATCACAATAGTGAAAGGCTGTACAAATACAGTTAAATCAAAGCCTCAGTACCAGAAAAACACATGTGTAAAACAATTTTTAACTCACTTGCGACTGGGCCCTTTCACCAGTCACAAGCGTTTAAGACTGGCGTTTTTGGGGGTATTTCAATAAATCACCACAACTCTCAGAATTACCCTATTGTAATCATTTTTTGACACAGTAAAGTAACATTCAAGCTTAATCTAATACAAACAACTAAAGTTGTCTAAGTCTAATACTTTAATTTGTATGATTTTGTAAAAATTGGCATGAATTTGATTTTCCGAAAAATTTCCAATGACGTGACAAGTAGAATGAAATTCACTGCAACAACAAAAATAAAAGTTCAAAGTGTTCTGGTTTGATTTGTATACATGTGCGAGTGTTTGGTGAAAATATCAAAGCTGGTCTGTGCATTGATTCAGACCCATACACTGAATTACATGAGACAGATGTACGGCACGACGTTGTGATTTCGTTGCGCGAAAAACAACACTGGTACTAGTGCTAGATCTAGCCCTAGAACTACGACTCGGGCCGTGTTCGGGTACATATCCAGGATCCTAACAATTAGACACATCATATTCTGAGACACTAGAACTAGTAAAACGCACAGAAGTATAGAAAACGGTGAAATTATGTGATTCTTGTTCATGCGACTTCTTCGACCGTTACTACGACGCGACTGTCGGATTACTATCAGCTGTATAGAAAAAAACAAAGCGCAAGTTCCGGTCTGTTCAACCCCAGTTGGGGTCACTGTCCTTCG